GGAGGGGGTATAATCCATTGTGTATACCATGAATTATACAAATAGCATTTTTGAATTAATAAAGTAAAAATAGAATATGATAGTTTCCAGGAAAGATGAATGCACAGCACAGCACACGGGTGAGAAACCGAAGGAAAAAAGTTTCATGCCGTAATGAAGAACGTGTTCACACTGTAACCGGTTTACCGGTCAAAACTAACGTCTGAATGCGTCAACCTCGAATTCTCCTACTTCGCATTTAATGCCACAGGCCCTTTGTTTTATTTCTTACATCCTTGATTTGACTGCCATTTCCCAGTCAACCTTTGTAATCTCTTCACTCGCTTATTCTTATATACTCCACCACAAGATACCTGACCTCCTCGGTTCTCTCTCCCCCAAAACATTGTATGGATTGAAAGAGTGTGAAAATGGAAGATTTAATCCAATTAGCGAGTAATTATTCATTATCTGGGCTGATGGATTATTCTGCTGAAGGTGAAAAGAGCTCATTAGGGTTCATGGAGTTGCTGAATATGCAAGATTTTGGGCCTTCATTCTTGGATATTTTACAAGTACCTTCTGAACCCTTTGTTCAGACTCAGACTCCGACGGTTTTTCAGGAATCATCAGAAGTGGTGAATATCCCAAATGATTCCTCTATTTCTTCAGAATCCTGTGGTGGGCCAAATGATGAGCAGAATAAAGAGGTACTGTATGGAGAAGGAGAAGAAGAACACAAGGCCAAGAAACAGTAATTTTTTTTTTTTTTATACTTTCTATTTATTAGAAAAAGACTAGGTGCTTTTAACTTTTGTTTGTGGTTTGTGTGTGTGTTGTTTGAAAGATTATGATTTTGATTGTGTTTGTTAATTTTGGGGTTCTCGAAACAGGTTGAAGCCCAATAAAAAAAGACAGAGAGAGCCAAGGTTTGCTTTTATGACAAGGAGTGAGGTGGATCATCTGGAAGATGGGTACAGATGGAGAAAGTACGGCCAAAAAACTGTAAAGAACAGCCCATTTCCTAGGTACGTACTTCTAAACTTGGACATTTTCTTTGTTGTCTATATATTCCACTGTAATTCAGCTGCTAGATGAAAATCTCCATGAATTCTCTCCTTATATATGTATTTGATTTATTTCTGACTTGACATTGTTTTAGGAGCTACTATAGGTGCACCACTGCTTCGTGTAATGTTAAGAAAAGAGTGGAGAGATCTTATCATGATCCAAGCACAGTGGTGACTACATATGAAGGTCAAGACACTCATCCAAGCCCTGTAATTGCCCGGCCAAACCCTGCCGTTGCACTTGCTTCTGACCCCGCCTTTTTTTCCGGTGGAGCCACTGCATTCTCACGGCCTGCTCAAACTCCAATATCCTATTACAATTACTCGACGGCGGCGAATTATCCTTCTACTTTACTAAGAGACATTGGACTACTTCAAGACATTATGCCATCATCCATTATTAGGAAGGAAGAGTAAATGAATTTTAATTCTTTTATGCTTATCTCAGACCGTCGGACAGTATATAAATTGAGGACGACGAGGAGTTGATGTAATGAACCTCCAGTGCTGCTTGTATGTACTTTGTAACACAATGTTCCCGTTTCCAGCGCCAGAGATAGACTTTAGTGATTATTATTCAAGGTCTGAATATTTTCCTTTTTTATTTTATACTTGTTTTTCAACTGCCTTTTATCAGCGACCATAGGATATTCGTTTTCTTTTATTTCTTTTGGTTGTTAAAAGAATGTACATTTAGCCCCAGTTGGTT